TGTTACAATCATTCAACATCTAGCAAAAAGCCTGATATATACGAGGTCCTTAAGAAATAGTTATTAAAGGGCTGAGAGTATAGCTAAGTGGTAGAGAGCTCTATCTTCAGCACTGTAAAAAGGAAGAAAGGAAGGAAGGAAGAGGTGTTAATACATACAGGATATGTTCATGCCATTCTAAATGAGTGTTCTCTACTAGTACTTCAGAATCCCATGGATCTGTTCTTCTGTTTCTATCTATATGAAAAATTACTGTAAGCATTTTCGGCATTATTTGATCTCTTTATAGCTCAATATAGCCACACAAACTCAGTGTCCACATTTGCATGTGAGTTTTGAGTTTTGAATCATATTAAGTACAATGGTTGCTTGACTGTATGTCTTAATGTAAAATGACAAGGTCCTAATGTTCATCTTTATACTTATGTGGGCTTATTTTACTATGAGCAAATATTAAAATTTCTTTTAAAAGTGGATGATTAGGAAATGAAAAATGAATCAAAATAAACTTCAGCAACTTCAGTTATTGAAGATATTGAGATTCATGGAAAAAAACTGCATCGGAATAAAGTATCACTTCACTTTTCACAAGTTAATAAATATGCGGGATGCAGTGGCTCATGCCTGTAATCCCAGCAGCTCAGGAGGCTGAGCCAGGAGGATCATGAGTTCAAAGCCAGTCTCAGCAACAGCGAGGTGCTAAGCAACTCAGTGAGACCCTGTCTCTAAATAAAATACAAAATAGGGCTGGGGATGTGGCTCAGTGGTTGAGTGCCCCTGAGTTCAATCCCTGGTACCGCCCCCCCAAAAAATACACTACTGTAAGATCCAGCCATCCTACTACTGGGTATATATCAAAAAGAAATGAAGGGGCTGGGGGTGTAACTCAGTGGCAGAGTGCTTGCGTAGCATGTGTGAGGCACTGAGTTCAATCCTTAGCACCACATTAAAACAGACACATAAAATAAAACAGACACATTCTGTCCATCTATAACTACAAAAAATTTTAAAAAATAAGAAATGAAATCAGTATGTTGAAGAGACATTTGCATTCCCATGTTCACTGCAGCATTATTCACAATAGCCAAGAAATAAAAACAACTTAAGTGTCCATCAACTGATGAACGGATAAACAAAATGTGGTAAATATATACAACAATATACTATTCAGCTATAAAGAAGAATGAAATTCTGTCATTTGTAACAATATGCATCTAACTAGAGATAATTACATTAAGTAAGCCAGGTATAGAAAGACAAGTACCACATAATCTCACTCATATGTAGAACATAAAAAGTTCATCTCATAGAAATTGAGAGTGGATACCAGAAGCTAGAATAGTAAAGAAGTAAAGTGAGATATGGAAAGGTTGCTCAATGTGTAGTAGGTTGCAGTTAGATAGGAGCAAGAATTTCTAGTGTGCCATTTCACACTGGGAAAATTGTTGACTGATTATGTACTGTTTATCTCAAAAAGCTAAAAGAGCCAGGGATGGTGTTGCATGTCTGTAATCCCAGCAGCTATGGAGGCTGAGGCAGGAAGATCGCAAGTTCAAAGGCAGCCTCAGCAACAGTGAGGCACTAAGCAACTCAACGATACACTATCTCTAAATAAAATACAAAATAAGACTGGGAATGTGGCTCAGTGATTGAGTACCCCTGAGTACAATCCCCAGTGCCAAGAGAAAAAAAAAAAAAAGCTAAAAGAAAGCACCTAGATTATTTTCACCATAAGAAGTGATGTTTAGGAGAAAGATGAATTTAATCTAATTACACAATATACCTATGGGTCAAAAACATTACATGGGGGCTGGGGATGTGGCTCAAGTGGTAGCGCACTCGCCTGGCATGTGTGCAGCCCGGGTTCGATCCTCAGCACCACATACAAACAAAGATGTTGTGTCCACTGAAAACTAAAAAATAAATATTAAAAAAAAATCTCTCTCCCTCTCTCTTTCATACTTTCTCTTTAAAAAAAATTACATGGTGCCCCATTAATATTTATGTTTTATGTATTGATGTATCAGTTAGTAGGAAATATTTTAAAATGAATAAAATTCTTTTTTTACTTAAGTATATTCTTCTAAGGATGTCTATGATGAAATCTCCCAAAAAAAGTTTTGAAAATCTACAATTACTTTAAGATTAAGCACTTGCATTAAGCAAATACAGAATAAACTTTTATCTCCTTAAGAAATGGGTTCTGTTCAATTTCTAGTGTACAATTCTATCATTAAAATAAAATAATCAAATAGACATAGTTATTACTCTCTTTACAGAATTAGAAATTAAATGCTTTTAAACTGCTTAGATAAGTTTTTGTGGCATTTTGATGTTTGATCATTTACTTTCTTCATAAACACTGATTACAAAATAGTATGAATTTTCAAAAGACAAATAAGGAGAACCAAAAATTTAAAAAAAAACATACATTAGTCAAAACCATAGGAATTAACCCCTAAGTGAAAACAGGAATTGTATCTCTTAACTTTAAAACCATCTTAAGCAATTAACCATATTCTTTCATAAAGTTGTACCTTGAGAATGGGGACCATATTTGATTCTTCTGTGTATTTCCAGAAGCCAAAACAGTGACTGACACATATTTGAAGTATATATTAATGCACAAATAAATGAATTACAAATATGTACGTTGGTTGCTCTTCTATCTTTCGGTGTAAAAGCTGTGAATTATAAATATCCATTTTTATCTTTTTT